CTAGAGCTATACCGAAGTATACCACTAGTAGTAAGAAGTCTTACTGACCCCCAAAGTAAGTATCTTAGTAACTCAGGTTAAATGGATTGAATTGAGCGCGAGTAAGGAAAGGCTAGATACATGAGTATAATTGTCCTTATTTATGTTTCTTCCAGTCTTCCTTCGGCCCCCCTTTTGGTTCCTCTTTCGGTACTCCTTATGGTATACCGTTCCCTTCGTTCGTATGCCATTTCGTATACCATTCGTATACCATCCTGTATACCATTCCTCGTGATCCTCAATGTTCATTCTTGTCACGTGATCTGGAGTTCGCCCTATTGCTGCCTTGCGGGGTAATTGTTTCATCCTGCATTGCTGTGTTGGACAGCGTTATCTCCTGTTGGCTCATAACACAAGGATTTGGGGAGTCAAATGACAATATACCATGAGGACTACGAGAAATGGTATACAATATACCACAAAAGGTACCATGGAAGGTATATAGGGATGGTATACAACATACCACGGGAAATACCAAAGGAGGTATACAGAATGGTACAATCAGGAGGGAACATAAAAGGGGCATTTTTCCCGCCGTCATGTATCTATTCTTTTATCCTCGCGCTCAATCTCAATCACAGTTACTGAGATACTTACTTGGAGGGTCAGTAAGACATCTTACTACTATTGGTATACCTTTGGTATAGCTTTAGTAGGCGTTGCCCTGACCTAGTCACTTGTGCATTCTCTTATCCGAAGACCCCGATTACTTGTGTCGAGTCCACTTGGAGTTGATCACTGTTGGGGATCCTGGATTGGATCTGCGAACCTTCCCTAACCACCCAACGTTAAGTATCGGTGACTTAGGTCAGCCCAGCGTGTAACAATTTATTTAGTAATAGATAAGACTATATTATTAATCTAAACCATATACTATAATAGTTTAGGGGTTTAATATTTTAATAAATTATTCTTAAAGCCTTTAAAGAGTAACAGGTAGGCTACTAAATTATCTTAGGGTCTTATAGGAGTAGGAGATAAAGCTATAGGGTCTCTTATAGGCTATTTGCCTTTACTAAATCCCCTTAAGGCTATTTATAGTAAGAATTTAATTAATTCTAGGTTATTTTAATTTATTATTATATATATAGCCTCTTATAGGTCTATATAGCTATAATTTAGGCTTTTAAGCCATAAAAATAAGGGATTAGGGGCATTATTAGCCCTTAGGGAATCTAAGGTATTGTTACGCGTTGGGTCCAACCGTAGTCGTCGATACTTAACGATGGTGGTTAGGGAAGGATCAAGGAGTCTTCTTGACTCTGTGTCGTTCACGAGCACGCGACGGTCTAACCGACCCGGGTCTCCTCTTCCTCGAGACAACGGCCTACCTGGCGAAGGGCTCTTCCTCGAACGACTTCTCGCGATATAATGGGGTCTCGCAAAGATACACGATAGGGGTGCTTCAGGTGAACAAGAACGATAACGACTAGGTCAGAGGCAACGCCTACTAGAGCTATACCGAAGTATACCACTAGTAGTAAGAAGTCTTACTGACCCCCAAAGTAAGTATCTTAGTAACTCAGGTTGAATGGATTGAATTGAGCGCGAGTAAGGAAAAGCTA